GAGAGAGAGAGCTGCAGACAGCGACCACAGTGTAAGTTCTTTACTGTTTGACTTGTCCTCAGACCCCAGTCTGACATTGCAGCCAAACTCAACCCCACTTACTAACTTACTTACTTACTCATTGCACGATCCGTCTCAGCAATTCTTTCCCCCTCTCACACCAGTGCAGCAATCCGGCAATACAACTCCCCCCACCCCCCCCCCGGCATGGCCCCCCCCCCCCCCGGCATGCCCCCCCCCCCCCCCGGCATGCCCCCCCCCCCCCGGCATGCCCCCCCCCCCCCCCGGCATGCCCCCCCCCCCCGGCATGCCCCCCCCCCCCCCCCCGGCATGCCCCCCCCCCCCCCCCCCCCCGGCATGGCCCCCCCCCCCCCCCCCGGCATGGCTCCCCCCCCCCCCCCCCCCCCCCGGCATGCCCCCCCCCCCCGGCATGGCTCGCTTTGCAGTTATATAATACGTTTAGGTGAAGTGCAAGAAGTTGCTTTGCTTATGGTCACTCTCTCACTCACTCACTCTCTCACTCACTCACAGTTTCCTTCTCATGTTTTTTCTATTTCATGCAAATAGATAATGTAAATGGCAGACGGGGTTATCATGTAAATTGATAATGTAAATTGCAGCCCTGGGGACGGGGGGGGGGGCTGGGGGGCTGGGGGGGCTGAGGGGTTGGGGGGGCTGGAGGCTGGGGGGGGCTGGGGAGGGGGGGCTGGGGGCTAGAGGCTGGGGGCTAGAGGCTGGGGGCTGAGGACGGGGCTGGGGGAGGCTGGGGGCTGGGGCTGGGGGGCTGGGGGGCGGGGGAGGGCTGGGGGGCTAGAGGCTGGGGGGCTAGAGGCTGGGGAGCTAGAGACTGGAGGGCTGGGGGGGCTGGGGGGCTAGAGGCTGGGGGCTGGGGGGGCTGGGGGGCTAGAGGCTGGGGGGCTAGAGACTGGGGGGCTAGAGGCTGGAGGGCTGGGGGGGCTGGGGGCTAGAGGCTGGGGGGGCTGGGGGGGGCTGGGGGGCTAGAGGCTGGGGGGCTGGAGGCTGGGGGGGCTGGGGGGCTAGAGGCTGGGGGGCTGGGAGGCTAGAGGCTGGGGGGGCTGGGGGGCGGACTGGGGGCTAGAGGCTGGGGGATGCTGGGAGGCTGAGGGCTGGGGGGCTAGAGGCTGGGGGGCTGGAGGCTGGGGGGGCTGGGGGGCTAGAGGCTGGGGGCTAGAGGCTGGGGGCTGGGAGGCTAGAGGCTGGGGGGGCTGGGGGGCGGACTGGGGGGCTAGAGGCTGAGAGCTGGGGGGCTGCTCTGGATATGTGCTGATCTGTGTGGCTGCTGTTGAGGTGACAGATGTTGAGGGTGTGTGGGGTGGGGGTGGTGGGTAGTGGGGGGTACCTGGCTGAGGTGTGCCCTCCTTTAACACTTTGCGGGCGCTGGGTATGTACTGTAAGCCAACACCTCAGAGCACCTTCATTTCACGCACACACACACACGATGGGCACCAAACAGATCTTGGAGATGCCTTTCTGGTTTCTTTCGAATTTTCTTTTTCGATTTGCTTTTCTGGAGGTAATAATCCTTTTTTTTAAAAAGAACATTGGGTCCCTCAGTCCACAACTGTTTGTGGGACACTGTCGTGCGCAATGGGCTACCACATTTAGCCCGTAAAATAAACAGTCAATCCACTTTACAATATTTTGTGTCAAACACTTTGAGTTGTCTCAACGAGGTGATAAGCTGCTATATCAAATGCAAGAATTATTATTATTAAGTCCGCAATTAATTTTAAAAGGTTTGCATTCAAGATCAAGCGAGGTTTGGAGCTGAATCCAATGTGGTATTTGCAGACTGGGTTTGTTCCTGGTTTCGTTATTTACACTATCAGATTCTCTGGGGTACTTTGCCTGTGGGGTAGTGGGAATCAGACGGAGAGTACATTTGGAGCCCCAGCAACATTTTGATTAATGTAAAACCAGTTGAATGTTCACTAATATCAGTTTATATATAAGGGGGTTAGCACATAATAGATCATTTTGACATTAAGTGAAGCTGAATCCTGAAGATCAACAATTAAACCCATTCCTTTGAGATTTTTAAAAAATTCCAATCCTCTGCTCGGTGTGAATATTTCATACTGCAGTCTGGCAAGGCAAGTAAGTACTAGCAGCTTTCCAATACCTCACCCAGTTTTGCCCACAAAATACACTCAATCTACTTTACAATTTATCCTGTGATGTGCTTTGAGACGTCTCAACAATGTGACAAGGCACTATATCAAATGCAAGGATTATTATTAAGTGGCGATCAATGTTTGAGCCTTGACAATAAGCATCAGCAGACTACTGGAGTGAATTTTTTCCTGGTTCTTGATTTAATCTGTTTAGAGCAACCAGAATTGGGCCAGTTATTGAATTGAGTCTTAACTTTCTTCACAAAAAATTAGTTTTCTGTAGCTCTTAAAAGGAACTTAATCAAAACCAGTTTCAAAACTGATTTTTATATATATTTATTTTTAACAATTCACTAAAATCTAAAATCTCTAAAATACTAGTTATCTGCCCCCGTACATTTCCTTATGGGAGGAGGCATTACAGTCAAGGCTAATATTTGCACTGCTTTTATGTCCAAAGACATCTACTGCCTTGCAGGGGAGGAGTCACATGATATTGATCATGACTAGGAGTCCTCTGCAATTTTCTGTCTCCCCCACTCCCGCCACTAAACTGAGCCACTCAGCCCAAATCTAGTGCCCCCACTGCTATCCTGCTGAGATCAACTAACTCAGCACAGACCAGGAATTGAATGTGAAATCTTCCTGATTTGTGTATCTCTTACCACACCACATGGTACATTTAACCCACTGAGCTATTGGACAAAGGCTTATTTACTTATTGGTTAATTAAATTTTCAGTATCATTTGTTTAAATTGTTTTAGTTTAGTTTAAATAACATTGCAATATTTTATCCCTTTGACAATCGTATGCATGGCTCATAAGGAAATGATTTATTTCATTAATAATATTAACATACTTAATTTTCTGCTGGATTCAACATGTGCATTTAATTTACTGTATACATTAAATACTGGTAGACCAAACATAACCTTTCAGCATAGGTCAAGCACTTACAAAGGAGCTAAAGCTGGTGACCAGTCAAATCTTTCAGATACACTTTTCCTTGCTTATTCTCATCTGTGAGTATTGTAAATTTCTTTGGCCAGATGTGACCTCCTTTTAGTGTGATGGCACCATGTTCTAAACTCTGTATTCAAAAAGTCTTCATCTCCTTCAAAACTCTGCAGTCCTTAATCCTACCAACATCAGGTAGGATTACAACAACTTGCATTTATGTAGTATCCCATCTTACTGTTCTCTGGAACTCTCACAAAATCCCTTTGTCTTGTGTCTTCACTCTCTGGCTTCAAAACCCTCTTAAAGACATTGATTTGCCGATATCTTTGATCAGTATCCCAAATAGCCCCTCTTTCCTTGCTCAATGATTTCCCCAGAATCTTTGCAAAGCCCTTTGAGGTGTACATCCTGCATGAAAGGAACTCCCTGTCTTCCAGTGGATCGATTTCAAAGTCCTCACCCTCACCAATAAATACCTTCATGTCCTAGCACCTATATATATATATTATTACTATATATATGTGATCTCCTATCCCATTCTACTCCCTACCCCCCTCCCCCCCCCCACACACCGTAGCTTATTCAGGCCCGCTGTCCATCCCCTGCCATCTTCATGGCACCATTGATGACTAAGCCTTCAGCAACTATGCTCCTAACCTCTTAAACTCTCTCCCTGAACCCCTCCGTCTCATCCAGAGTGTGCAGCGCTCTGGGGCACTATCCTGCGGGAAAGACCCTATATAAATGCAAGTTATTGCTGTCCCCACTCTTATCCGTCTTTAAAAACCTTCCTCTTCAACTACGCCTACAGTTCACCTCCCCCACTTCTCTTGCTCAGCATTCAGCTCCACCACTGTAAGGGACTCTTGAGACATTATGCTCCATGAAGGGTACTATATAAATGCAAGTTGTTTTTGCTGTTGCTGTTGTAAGTGCAAATTGTTGTTATTGCTTTGATGATCTCTTTACGTTTTATTGTTACTTTCTGAAGAGCTGGCAACCAAAACGTGATTGTAGATTGTGTTTATCAGCAGGAATTATCTGATTGGCCACAAACTAAATCTGAGTCGTTTATACAAAAAAATAATATTTGAAAAGTAAACATACAATTTTGAAGTTTTGAATGAGGCTTCCAATTGGCTCAGCTAAAGTTCTTGGGAAGATGTAAAATAATGTTTCTCCACAGGGAGCCCTTTTGAATTGTAAGTGAATGTCTAAAAGATCTGATTTTTGTTTCTTTCATATAATAATAATCCTTACATTTGATATCCCTTATCAAAGCGCTTCACAGAATATATTGTAAAGTGAATTGACTTTATTACTATTAATTTATTTATTATTATTACTTTATTATTACATGATATCTCATGAGTGTTGATTTTCTTTAGTGGATTTGCTTATTACAATAAATGAAGCTCTTCCAAAGAGCCAAAGACTTTCCAAAGACTGGAGTAAAATGTCAATGACTCTTTTTAAATAGTCCCTGAGCAGAAAAGTAGTCTTTGAGGTTTCTTGTAACTATTGTTTAGAGAAATAGAACAGTTACTGAGGGGAAGAGTTCATACACACCAATTTCTCTTGCTTTCTTGATTCCATTGATAAAATTGGCCATTCGGAAGGTACACTGCAATATGTACTCCTCTTGATTTTATAGTGATTTTACATACCAACATAAAATGTTATAGTTTGCATTTGGATACAAACTAAGTTTATCTACCCAACACTTTGTATCTATACAATCGCATATGCAATATTTGGTTGCATAACTCTGAATTTACGCTTTCACAGGGTGTTTTATCCAGGGTGGGGAGGGAAGAGAAGGGCAGGTTAGATGCAAACTTAATGATGGACACTCACTGCTGGAAATGATTGATCTTTTATTTAGGTTCCTACTCTCCTTGGTGGGAATTTTTCAACAAATAGAAGTTGTGGACAGCATGCAGACTGTAAGATTATTGTGGCTGGGTCTGCAGTACCTCACCAGTCTATAATCTAATAAATTGTTGGTTGCTGATGGAGATCCCTTGCTTTCTCTCTGAATGATAACACTGAAACTGTGCAGGTGTATGAAAAATAAACATTGAGCAGAGCAAACCAGCACGGCAATTCATCACCACCCCTGTGTCACAGCAATTAAAACCAGCAGAACCAAATTTAATTTCCTTGCAGTTTAGTCTGTCCCCAGAGGAGAACTGCACGGTGAGTTTCATGTTTTTAGTAATTTGCTTTTTATGAAAAAATCCAATCTCACTCTAATCGTACAGCGTAGAATAATGTTTTTCTTTCAAGAACTGAATGTTTGATCCTTAGGAAACCTTGTTATGTTCATTTCTGGCAATTTAAATGTGTTCCTGAAACGAGACTTCTCTTATGTTCTCTGTCCATTGTTTGAAACTATAAACAGTCTGCTGGTTACAACAACCCATCGATACAGTGCTATCCTTTGTGATGCTCAACTTCCAAATACAAAATTAGTATCTTTTATCAGTGGGTTATGTTGATCTCTAGATCTATAAAATGTTTTTACTGTTTGAACACATGGAAGACTGTAAACCATTCAAATGTTTGAGAGATCTTAGAAAAGCAGTAAGGTGATTCTATGATTTAGAGCTCTAAGTTGTGAGGGGAGACTTGCAGAAATCAAATTGTTTTTGTCAGAAATGTACAGGAAACGCATACCACGTTTTCAAAATGCTAAGGTTATTGAATAATGCAGAAGGTTATTTTAACTTGAATTGTGAGCACAGAGCAAGAGGATGTGGGCCTAGAATTACGAAACTATTTCAAATGAGAAAAAATCCACAAGCCTCCGCCCCCTCACACACCCTCGCCCACACCCCCTTCCCCCATAGACACACTTAGTGGTATAGAAAGTTAGAATAGATTCCCAGCAAAAGCAGTTAGTACAGTAGAATGGCATTATAGGATCCCTCTTATAATGCTGGTTGGCTTATTGGACAATTGCCCTGTGAACCCGTGTTGTCTTGAGTGTGTGGGATAGCCAGCTTCATATTCACTGACTGGCTTCCTGCACACTACAAATTGGCCAAGTCCAGGGTCACTGGGGCATCACAGATGACACTTCCTGCGTGCCACATGCAGCACACAGGAAGTGACACCGACGGTGATCTGATAACCTGGAAGTTGGGCATTTAGTAATGGCAAAGTCAGACAGTGAACAGGGCATACGCAGTGACATCCACACTCATGTGATCAGTCACAATGGAGAAGCACTGACCATCGATCACACACCGTTACAAAGCTCATTGGGATTCTATGGACCCCGAACTACTGCGTTATAATGGAGATTCTACTGTATTCTTTTAAGAAGGATCATAATAATAATAATAATAATCCTTCCATTTGATGTAGCACCTTATCATGTCTTCTAGACGTCTCAAAGCGCCTCACAGAATATACTGTAAAGGTTAGGAATGGGAATAAAAGTTATGAGAGTTAGTTCAGGTCACTGTGATCGAGGGCTGTGTGGAACATCCTGCTCCCTGAGCAGCTGAGATCATGGACATGTCATGACATGGGAGGCGATGTATTTATCAGTGCTGCGTGCTGTACCTGTAGGTGAGATAACAATTCTGGAATTTTCACTTGAGTATTTTGTTGAGAGTTTGTGTGGGAGAGTCAGAAGATGGAATGTGGTGATCAGAGAAAAAAAACAAGACTGGTGGCCCGAGTGGCTTTTTCTCATTCCAAATTTTACCATTTTAGGAATCTTAGGAATTTAAAGCACTTTAAGATGACCTCCCAGTGTAAAAGGCACAATATAAATATGTATTGTTATCTTATCATTTATGATCATCGAGACTCGAGACGATGCACTCTGATTACTTAAATCCAGTTGAGTATGAGGTGCGTGTTGGCAAGAGTCAAGGCTTGAAGACCAGAGAATGGTGTGTTGCAGTACTGCTGGAGTTTGACTAATTAAACCCACATAACTTGCCATCCATCTGTCACTCACTGGCTGTGATCAGCTAACTCAAAGACAGGTCCTTAATGGTCTGAATGTATGCATATCCCCTGTCTCATCTCTGTGTAATTCCCTGGCCCATCATTAATGTATGAATCATGAGTATTTGATAAGATTGTTCCTGAAGTTTATGCGTTCCAAGCAGAATTTTAGTTTTTAATAATTTAGGAGTTGTGTACAATTATGTGTGTCGCTCAGTACTACAGCATTGTAGTGCATTCTGCCACCGAACCATTGGAGGATAGCTCTAAACTACAGTTCTGACTACATTTTTTGCTCAGAAAACATTAAGTTAAGAGTCGAGGGAATATATCAGTTCCCGCTCGAGGAATGACAGTCAGCCATTACTCCTCCACATTTGTTTTGATGAGCTGATGATATGATACAAGCAGCTTTGATGGTGTCTGTAGTCCAGGGATTAAGCAGTGGCAATGTTCTTATTAAGATAAATACATTATACATTCATCCTGAATGAGCTTGTAATAAAAAGATTATAATTTTGTATAGAGACAGAGCTTGTTAATGACTATCAGAGCTGCTTTTTTTTGAAGCTATGTCATGTGCATCTGAATGAGATCTTTGTCTCTGCAGACAATGGAGGCTTCAGTCTTTAATTGCGAAACAGATACAGAGAAGGACTCTAGCGAAGGTGCTACGTGACTTCTGTTGCTCTTGGCCAGTTATGTGCTTGATCATGACATGACCACGTGCCAGGGTTTCTTCCCTCATCATGCTTTTTGAATCAAGTTGGGAATCTTTATTTGATTCAGTGTGTCGAAGTGCTTTCTTTTGCTTCATCCATTGGAAACATTTTGCTTTTGAAAGCTGGGTTGCTGGTAGCAGACATGTATGGGCTTTATACCACACAGAGGCTGAGAAATGAAACCATAAGACCTCTCTAAACTCATCGTGTCTATTGTTGTGGTTTTGTACAATGCAGTGCATGGCACAATTAATCCTGCATATGTGGGACAGTAGTTTGCAACGCTAGACGCATGCTCAAAGCAACATTTTCTGTGAAGATCTTGTTATCTACTGTTATCCAATTTTGCAGTTGGATCCTAATAGCACAAATGAGGAGTTGGGAAATTGAGGACATGGGTTGGGACCAGATCTGAATGTACTCACTTTGTCTTCTCATGTACTCTGGATGTGGGTTGCGTTAGTTAATAATAAGGATAGATCTTAAACTTCGGCAGTGTGATTTCATGCTACCCTTCTTTGTAGTGGCTGAAACATCAAAGATCCTGAACATTGCCGTGTTTGAGTTATCATTGTGTGGCTATTTGGAGCTCAGACATCGGGAGGACATGCCAGTGCCTTAGGACGTCCTCCCAACGTGAAAAGTATGAAACAAATGTAATTTGTCGTTGATATTTGCCAAGTGTTTCGTTTTTCATTTAGAGCAATTGTTAGTTTTCATCAATCATGGTTATTTTGGGTATTCTGAAGTCCTGTAGCTCAGTGGTTAGAGCACTCGCCTGGCAAGTGAGAGGACCTGGATTCGATTCCTGGGCAGGATGAAACGGGTAAGTTTCCTTATTCCATATGCCTGTTTACATAGTAGTAAGAAGGAACCTGATTGTTAGTCGATTGACAGATCGCTTTTCCGGAGGTAATAATCCTTCAAAAAAAGTAATTTAGTCACTCAATGCTTGTGTGACACTTCGCCCACAAAGCATTCACTTTACAATTGACTGTATATTTGTGGATGAAATGCGGCAGCCAGTTACCCACTGCAGTGTCCCACAAACAGTCCTGGATTGAAGTGACCAAATTATTATTGTTTTTTTGAGGGATTATTACCAGGTGTGTGGAATAAGGAAACTTGCCCAAGGTTTCGCCCTACCGGGAATCAAACCCAGGTATCTCACTTGTGAGGCAAATGCTCTAACCACTGAGCTACAGGACACCACGTAGCTTTGTCCACATCTGGGAAGTAGGACCCGATGGAACTAGATTTAAATGTCCTGAACCACAGAATAACATCACTCACATGTAACATTATAAACTGGCAATCTGTTTCTATTCTGTCACCTCGGTGTTCTGTTGCATTTAAATTGTTGACATTTCTGAATGGGGTTTCAGTCAAATAAGGCCCAAGGCAAGCATGTAACCACTGTCGGCACTTGTTCATTCAAGATCAAATGATCTGCAGGGATATTGTGCAGATCGCTAGCAGATTAAATCAAAATGTATCATCAATATTTCATTTAACTGAAGAGCTTTATTGCAAAATTGGACTTGTGTGTGTTACACATGGTGATATATTTCTCTGCTCCAAGTGGTTTTACTTCAGATAATGATTTCATCTTTAAATCTATACTTTTTTAATGAACCGGTCGATGAGACTTTATTTCTGCTCCCAAATATTCTTTAAAACTATTCAAGGAGGATAAATCCTGACTTTTAAAGATACCCAGGTGAAATTCAGAAAATGGGTCCAGGATGCCATAAGACCATAAGAATTGGTAGACAAAAGAAGACTAAGGTCCATCCAGTTCGCCTTCCACCATCCTGGTAGTCGCAATCACATGTAATGTCCTAAACTATATACTGTATCCCAAGATACTATTTCCTGAAAGAAATCTATCCAATTTGTCCTGTTTAACTGACAGCCTATCTAACACGTTTTGTGCGTGTTCTAGCATGCTGGAGATTTGCAGATTGAATTAAAATTTTAGAGAGGAGTCAAAATGCAAAGAGGAGACAGTGTGGTCTGTGGTCAGAGTTGCTGAATTTTTGTTCTTCTCTCTGCACAGTTTCCAAACAACAGTGTAACACATATCTTCTGACTGGATGAGTTTAAAAAAAGTAATATCTCTACTGCGTGTTTGAGCCTGTCAGCCAGAACTGCCTCCACCTATTTGAAATTATTACATCAATAAGTTCATTAGAAATCTTATTTAAAATAAGCTTACTACCTCTTTTTTCCCCACACTCTGGTCTGTTGTGCAGTGATTTTTAACTGGATTCCCCGAGGACACTTCATGACATTTAAACCCAAATATTAACTTTACTTAAAATATATCTTTTGGTTCAGTTTTTGTTTACAACACACATGGTTTTTAATACTTTGTGGTTCTTTGTACTTATAATGACAGCATGTGGAAATCATGATTACAGTTATTCATTCTATTTATATATTTATATTTAATCTTCCGACAGTTGTTCCATTTTTAAACATAAGATGACACATATTAATATCAAGGAG